AATGCAAATGAGAAGGAGTAGTATTTAAGTCGAAGTTCCACTGACTTCGAGAGAGATAGAATCAGACTTTCTGACCCGCGCGCATTTGCATTTTGGCCACGCCTCTCTAAGCTGTTACTACGCTCGGCCTTTGATAGATTCGCTAGCTAATTCGATACTTAGGGGTCAGCTAGTTAGATTTGTGTTAGCTTCGGCTAACTCTCTTTTAGTTAGTGATTATTTAAATTCTTATTTCTTATATTTTGAGTTTAAGCCCAAGTGGAGGCTTTGTTGTATGCCCTGAGAAAGGGACCAACTGTACATTTCTGGACTTAAGCGATTATTCGCTTAGTAGTTCACTAGGTTCCTCCACACTTAGTTAATAAATAAAAGGAAGGGACACTATATCATAGATGGCAAAACTAAGTAACGTGGCCTCGAGAGGCAGAAATACGCTCTGTCTTACCATTCCCAAATCTCAGCTCAAATACTCTCTAATACAGTGGTGCCCAAACTTTGGCCTATTGTAAGCACATTTCCAAAACATCAACATTTTTGTTAACCTTCCAGCACGCGTGTATGCGCAAAATTTACGACAAATTCAGTTTTTAATGCACACTTTTCGCATATCGAAGCTGAGACGTCTAAAGGTCATTTCTATTCCTCCTTTTTCTACCCTTCTCCACATCATGGAATGTGCCAATAGGAAGTCATTTGACTTTTTTTTTTTTTTTTTTTTTTTTTTTTTTTTTTTTTTTTTTTTACTGGGCTTTTGTGCTACGATGGCAGCTTTTTCGTAAAGTTTACGACACGTGCGTGTTCGTGGGTGAAAATTCGGAAAATATTTTTTTTTTTCTCAAACAAATATTTTGTAATTTTTTGTTATTAATTGCCGTGTATTATTTTAATTTGAATACCTTTGGCTCTGTAAATTTTATATCAGTTTTCATGGCAAAAAAAATACCTGGAACCAGCTGATTTTGCTCGCATTCTTCAAGAATTATCTGATGAAAAAAAAGGAAACAAGGAAACCTTTGGATGGGAGAACAACAGCGATTTCCATTCCTTATTTTCTTTTATTTCTATTTTTTAGAATTAAATAAAAATATTAAAGTTAGTTTAAAGCGCGTTTTTGTAACCAGTAAGAAGTAAATTTCTTTGCAGAAGTAAGTAATGCTAAACTTACTTTTTTTCCTACCAAGGTGTTTTCCTTTTTTATTTGTCTATATTTGCCTTTGATGAATATTAAAATTAGCTTCCATTTTAAAATATAATTATTAAATAATAGATGTAAAATATTCTATAATGAAAGAGATCATTGCATTTCCATCTCACTAACATAAGAACTTGAAAATAATATACTTATATTTGAATGTGATATCATTTGTATTTTGCAATAATAAGATTAATATTTTATTTCTTAACAAATTTATTATCAACATTCACTCATTTATGTCCTTTTTCGTGCCGAAAACGGTAAAATAACGGATGTCGTAAAAAATACGACGCGCGCGTACACGTGTAAAATTGCCAAGCGCGCGTGCTGGAAGGTTAAATATATTTCCAATCTTATGTGATACATCTGAAATATTAATTTCGGCAAATGGGTTTGAGATGAATAATAATATTGGTTGAACTTTACGGAAATCAGAGAACCGGAGTTCAAAATTATTTTTCAGTGCATTTAGGTTTTCCGAGTATTTCTCTGTTTTAATTGGTTATTAATATGGCTTGATAAATTTTGAAAATGGGTGAATTTTTTTTTTTTTTTTTTTCATCTGATTTATCCACAAAATTAACTTTATCTGAAAAGCAGTTAAAGTTCCAGTCAATCGAAAAAGGTTTTTTTTCTTTTCCCTGGAGATCTTCGTTCAGTTTGTTCAGTTTAGCTGTTATATCCGTGAGGAAATACAGACCGGATAACCAATTATTATCGTCCAATTCTTAATAACTTTCGTTTCCGGATTCCCAAAACTGCTTTATTGGCGGAAAAATATTCTACAATTCGTTGAAGTACTTTTTCCCTGCTGAGCCATCTAACATCAAAATGAAGCAATAAGATTCCATGTTCGCTATCAAGTTCATGAATCAGCAATCAATTATTTTATAACGTCTTGCAAGATATCTCTTATGACTATAAATGCTTACCATATTTTAACAATTAAGAAGTATAAATGAATGGTTATTTTTAAGGAGACTCGCACATCTTAAAACCCATAAAATTTTTGAATATGTGACTGTTGCAAGAATTGGGATAACTTATTTATTTTAAAAGCAATTACTTCCAACGTTTTACAGATGACTACATAATATAGCTGTTTTCTGAAATAGTGATCAGAAAGTTTATGTTGCCACAAATATTTTTATAATTTAATCCGCTTTTTGACAAAAGTTTTCGTCATGTTTCCACCTTGCGCGCACAGTTTAAACATTATTAAAAAATGCATAATTTAATTCCATATTTAATATATAGCTTTTATAACATTTGGAAACTACTGTGAACCAAAAAATTCTAAGAATTTCGTATTGAATTTTTATTTTGTTTGGAGTCGAGTTTATAAAATGTATTTTATTAAAAAAATCTGTAACGTTTTCGTCCATAAAAATTTTTAATATTAAAATATTCATCAGATTTTAGGTTCAGTTAAAAGATATGGCTCATATAAAGAATTCCATCAAATTTCAAGTATTTACCATTAGCCATTTTTAAAATATCGTGCGCGCAAGGTGTAAACGTGACGAAAAATTTTGTCACAAAGCGGATTAAATTACAAAAATATTTGTGGCAACACAAACTTTCTGATCACTATTTCAGAAAGCATCTATATTATGTAGTCAGCTCTAAAAAGTTGGAAGTAATTGATTTTAAAATAAATAAGTTATCCTAATTCTTGCAACAGTCCCATATTCGAAAGGTGTTAAGGGGTCTAAGGTGTATGAGCCCCCTTAAAATATTTTTTCTTCATAGTACCTAATCGGGCTGGCGAGCACATACAAAACGATCAGCGAGCATAAGGTTGGGGGGCATCGCTGCTTTAATACATTCTCATTTCTGGTGAAAAAACGGGAAGGAGAAGTTACAGTAAAAGCTGAAATTATAAATAACTGGTTAATTTAAACAATAAATGCTACACGCTGACGAAATATTATTTTGTTATGCACGTCTTCAGTCAAGATTCAATATTTGCTATGCTGCGACATTCAGCAGTTGTTAAGAAGTATTTTGCGTTCTTTTGTGCAAAGCGCACTGTGCCTTACAATAATGGAGTTAAATTTTTTTCATTAAAGAAAGAAATGTTACTCAAGGAAAACGGGATCTCATGCGGTTTTCCTCTGTATCATACACTGAAATCCTATTCCTTTAAATGTTTGCAGATTTTTGGACTACAACAGAAGTTCTCGATCTTTTTTTTTTGCCTCGTGCACCCCTTTCACCATTGCTAGACGATCATTCTCCCCTTCTTGTTTCTAAAATTCGAAAAATACACATATGTATGTAATAATAAAATTCCATAGTCAAGAATACACTTAAAATTCTAACTGTATGTTCTTTTCATTTTTAATGGCGACGTTCTCTTATTTGAAAGTACGTGGGAATTAAATTCACACAGCCCGTAGTCAAGTTGTTTTTCCCGCCTTTTCTACACGTACAGTTATAGAATGTTCTGGAAATATTTAAAGCGAACTGGATTGGCTGACGAGGCTGACGTCATTTCTTGGAAGCTCCGTCTTTCCAGAGGCTATAAAAGGACTCGCAAAGGAATATTGGGGGCTTTTTCTTAAATGTCACGATGTAGTAAACTTCATACAAAAAGTTATTAGTAATTCTTTTTATTTACTCCGGATATCTGATTTTGTAACTGCTATTTCTCCTGAATAATAATAAATGGATCCTGTTTGTTTTTTTTTTTTTTAACTTATCGTCTGATAATTTAAGCTACGACTAAAGCTGGTACATCACATGTACATTTAAATTTAGATTATTTTATAAAGTGTTTTATAAATTAAACAAGAAAATGCATAGAAAATATTAGTAAATACCAAAATTTGCATAAAAGTAGTTTTTAGCCCAGATGGGCTATTAATTTCAAAACGGCATTTTGCATCGATTCACTCTTAAAACTGTTGCCACAAAATATTATCGCCCTGTTCGATTAATTTATTATTAATTAATTTTTTTAATTCGCCTGTGTTATATTTAAAGAAATTAAATAATGAAGAATCTGCATAAATGTATGCATGTTTCTCGCATTGTGATAAAACAACGGTACCTAGAGCCATCCAATTCTGAATAACATAATCCTCCACCACCGAGTATGGGCATCTGGAAGCACTAATTTCGAATTTCGAATTTGTTTTTTATCGATTTCATATTTTGTAACACCTCAACGAATTTCTGATTAACAAACTCGACGATTTTAAAGCGAGCAACGGCAACACTATACGGGGGGGGGGACTGGGCCTATACGGGAAAGAAAAAAAAAATATCTCCAGAGTACGAGACTGTGTATCGGAAATTCTAAAGATATGCACTTTTTAAATTATTTTGTGATATTGCTGTTAAAAATGAATTTTATGGTTTAAATGCAAAGAACATGATATTTAATAAATAAAGGTACCACACAAAACGTTAAAAAAAAAAAGACACCTTTGAGCGTAATATAAAATCTGAAAACTTTCATATTTTTTCCCTTTTCCTTTTTTTAATATATTCATAAACTAAAACTAAATACTTTATAAGGTATTTCTCCCGCCTTCCTGGCGTGCCTTCGTGGTGTAGTGGTCATCACGCTGGGTCGGTATTCCGGAGGTTCATGGTTCGATTCCCGGCGAAGGCGTTACTAATGTTTCATCTTGCCTGCTTCCAAAAATATATCTAATGTCTCTACAGTGGCGCCCGAACTAAAAGGGGGTTGGATGATGATTCTCCTCATTCAGGATTTGGCAATTGGGTCCCTAAAAAGCCCAGTCGACCTTTAAAAGGGGGAGTATATAAAGTATTTCTCCCGCCTTCCTGGCGTGCCTTCGTGGTGTAGTGGTCAGCACGCTGGACCGGGATTCCGGAGGTCCGTGGTTCGATTTCCGCCGAAGGCGTTGCTAATTTTTCATCTTGCGTGCTCCCAAAAATATAACTAATGTCTGTAGAACTTAAGAGTTAAATAAAAGGCTGGCCGCATTCCCCCGGACAGTATTAAATTCCCCTGTCGAGTACCCCTGCTCTACAATTTCCAGACACCCTTGACCACTGGCAACTACTAACCAAATGTCCGATCAATCTACTGGGCGTTGCATTAAAATAATATTTTTAGGTTAAGTTCTACATATAATGCTAAAATACTTTTCAGCCGAATTTTCATTAGTTTTGCATTTATATTTCGTTCTTTCTTTTATTTAACAGTTTATACGCACCTAACAAACACAACTTCCAATCAAATGAGATTCGGAACAAAGTTCAAGGATTCACACTTGAGGAGAATTCACTCCTTTCTCCTTCACTGACGTTGCACGTGATTACATCGTGACGATCTTAACTACGCCTCCGAATGCGTGCTGGTTGATTGCACTTCCCAAGATAAATACCTCTCGATCACATGCTCAATCGAATGTGAATCCGGAGATTGGAATGTTGGAATACGATGCAAGTTATTTTTACTGGTCGCTTCTGCGACGCGCGTAAAACAAATATTGTCGTCTGAGAACTACAGCACGTGATGTTTTGAAAGATAACTAACTGTAAGCAGTATGATTCTAAGGATAACTGTGCGAATCAGTTTACACCTTTGACATTTTCACAGAATGTTCTATTTATTATTCTGTATCGGGAGTGAAAGTACTTTCACCCGCATCTTATCATGGTTACCGGCGGAAGTGAACATGACGTAAGATAAATTTCGTCATCCTTTTATCAATAATTATTTTCAAAAAAAGATGTCTAATTAAGCTTTCAGCCCAATATTCATAAGAACGAACCATTTTTTAGTCAATGGACACATGCATAACGCGTTCACAAAAAGTGTCCAACGCAGTTGAGTGCGCACGACCCGATCGCTGTCTAGGCACGTATCCAGGATCCCAAGTTATATCCTGATATCCTTCGAGGAAAGGAATTGCAAGGACCCTTGAAAAAGATGCTGTGCTTAGAGCCCCACCTCCCTGACTTTCTGCAGCTGCCCCAGACATGGCTTGCTGATCACTGAAACTCAGGGCTTCACTTCTTTATTACTTCTGTAAGGCTATCCCAACTGGAGAACTTCATTTTTGGACTTTTACTGTCTGTCTACGAGAAGAACAACTCCCGACACAGTGTCTAACGGGTCGCGGTCGCTATAGCAACAGGGCTAGTATATTTTAAATAAGGGCGAACCAAGGGTTATTGTCATTTCATCTTGAAATACGCCAAGATGGCAAATTGAAAAGTAAATCTTCAAGACACCCCTACGAAAAATGGGTCACGGCTCGTTTCTACGGCAGCAGACAGCTGCAGACTAACTGGCGAGAGCTTTTCTTATGATAGACAGACTGTACATATGTCAGGACCCTAAGGGGATTCATTTAGGAATCTGGTGGTGTGGTGGTGTATTTAATTATGCAAAGCACACTAGGGCTATCTGCCTAAGGGGAGGGATGCCTTTCGTGGAGGACTTTCTAAGGGAAACTGGCTCATATACACGTTACACATGGGGAAAACCACGAAAACGCCCATGCAGCCAGCCCGTTCGCGGGATTCGAACCTCGGACCGAACTACCAGTGTTCAGCGACATTACCGCTCGGCCGCTGGTGGGCCATTTAGGAATCTGGAAAGAGCAGGAGTAGTGCATCTCCCGCTGCATACCAGAATAAACAACCAAAGTATCAAAGTATCCCTAGATAAATGAAAACCACGTTCCACTGCAGTAAATAAGATTGCGCTAAGAAATTTACTAAAACATAAACAAACAATCATTTATCCACAATTGAAGTCAAGAGATACTCCGTATATCAAAACACCCAGTTTTACACAAATACCTAATGTGGTATATTTCATTACGGGCGTGCAAATGTTCTTCGGATTTTTTAATATATTCATTTACTTAATATAGCAAATAACAAGCTAAAATCACATGTATACATTTTTCTATGTTTAAGCCAAGTTTTTAACAAGAAGTTCTTGTATCGCTCTTCCTAAACGCGATTTGACCTTAACATCAATTGAACTTTTTTAACCAGCTCTTACAAATACCGTTCAATACAAAGTTCTTTAAACAGATTTAGTACATGATCCGTTTTGTTTCCGCAGCAATGTTTTTTGGTCGAAACAGAAAGGAATGCAACAGCGTGGATGTATTTTATCTGACTCCATTCTCCTTTACGATAAAAGGTTATTTTATTATTTAGGATGCTCTAAATAAATTTTAACTCTTGCTCTTGTGTGGTTAATTTTTATAACACTTTGCATGTTACAAAAACCTTTACTAGGAAACAAAACTGTCGGCTGCATTAACTTCCACCTATTTCTAACCTGAAGAATTTCTCTAAGCACTTACTATGGGAGGGAAAGTAAGTCAGAAAAATGGCAATTATAAAAAATAACCTAACGTGATACTCAGCTCAAAACTATTTTTTATTTCGCAATATAATCTTCATAATTATTTATACACTTATTCCATCGTTTCATGGCACAAACATTTCTTTGCATAAAATGGAAACACTCCTTTATAAATATTTTATCCACGATCTCACGGTACAAAAGATGCATATTCCGCCCCTTAAAGACCCTGTTCCATTACATCGAAATTGAGAAAGCTTAACTCTTAGCTGGACTCTCAGTTTTGCATAAACAACACACACGAGACAACAACTAAACACAAAGTCTCTGAGTTTCACAACAGTTACATAGAAAACCCACTAACAAACAACATTGTTCCAGTTCGCACGTCGAAAGTTCTTGGTTATATAAAAAAACTTAAAGTTCTGTGTTCGATCAAAGTCACCAATATGATGGTTAAGATCTTTCCGTTCAAGACAGTTTTCAAGATGACTAAGATCTTCAATGTAGCTAGTTCTCCGTTGGCAACATTTCCCTACAGCCTGGAAGACTGCTTCCTTTACACCTATACTGAAACCCAGTAAACTAGCCTTAGCATCAGAGTCATACAGGCCCATAAGTCTGTTACCCTGCCTGAGCAAGCTCTTCGAAGCGATTCTTCCGAAAAGAATATCATCTTCCACAGCAGTTTGGATTCAGGAGCAAGCTTTCTACTACGCAGCAACTCTACCGGGTAGTTGCGCACATTGCAGAGAGCTTCCAAGCCCAAAACGTTACTGGTGGATTATTTATCGACATGGCCAAGTCTTTCGATTGTGTCTGGCTGACCGTACTCATTTACAAGATACACAATCTGGGATTCAAAGATTACATTACACACATAATTAAATCCGACCTAACAGGTAGACACTTTGTCGTTTGCCTTTTTAACACCTCGAGCCATTTCAGCAGGCATCCCGCAAGGGTACCTCTTCGGACCTACATTATTTAACATTTATATAAACGACATTCTTAGCACACCTAACACTGCACTAGCAATGTAGGCAGATGACACTGCGATCCTTGCACAAAGTGCATCTTTTTATCTGGTAATCCAATGGTTACAATCTCACATCAAGGCATTAGAGACCTGGCTGACCAGATGGCAATTCGCCGACACCGCATAAACCACAATAGAATAAATGCATTCTTTAAAATTCATTTTGTTTACCATAGCGACACTCTGGCGCTAGATTCACTTAACAGTATTATATTTCGTTCATATTATAACTCAGAATGCACAAAATTTATATCATTTAAAGAATTATCTAATCGTTGCCACATGTTCTATTCAAATACTAAAATAAAGCTAGAACGATGTATAAAAAGAAATTAAGCAAACAAAACGAAACAGAAACAGTTTTTTACAGACGATTGAGTATTTTCTCATTCAGTTAATTCAGTTTTCACTTCGCGACAAGGCAAAAATACATAAAAACTCAAAATATATGTATTAAAAATTACGAAGTAAATCTTAAACGCTTATTTCCTCGAAAAAATTCCAGAAAGGATTAAGCATGATTTAAATAATAAATGAAGGCGTTATCTTTGTTGTTGCGAAGCTAAGTTTCTCTAGATTGGCAACAAATCCGCTACTCAGCGGTTTCAAATGTAAACAAGAGCAATGGCCGCCATCAAATTAGGCTTAGCGGCACTTAAACAATTTAAAAATTGTTGATAATTCTAAAAATATTGCATGCAGATTTACTAAAGGCATAACCGGAAGATAAAAACAACATAATTCAATCATTTTTAAAGCAAAAAATGTACAATTTACAAACATATAAGAGTAAAGAAACTAAGATCACTGAGCCGGGTAACAGAGTGGATATATATATAAATATATTTATATGGTGCGGCCGATTGCAACCAAAATACGAGGTGCACATCTACATGTTATAGCAGTCCTATATACAAAATTTCAAAGTTCTGAGGCTACTCGTTTTTGAGTTATGCGAGATACGTACGTACTCACGTACGTACATACATTCGTACAGACGCCACGAAAAATTATCTTCAGAATTCATTTTAAAGCAGTTTTATAATTTTTTTGGAGGAAAAGAGTGTTTTATTCTGTCCTTACGTACATATATCACGGAAATACATCGTTAAATTACATTTGAAAGAGGTCAAAATGGGATATTTTCGTTGAAATATGCTGCCTGAACCTTTTCGCGATTACAATACTTCCTTTTTACTTCGTAGAAGGAAGTAAAAAGATTACTGGAATTTTATGAATCTACTCTACCCTGGGCTAAGCAAGTCCCTTTTTTGGGGGGTGATCCTCACTAATAGGCTTTCATGGACCCCAAACATTACATCTATTATTAAAAAGTACCTAAAACGCAACTCTTCCCGACTGCACGAAACAGCGGTCTAGCTATCGATAATAAATTACTCATTTATAAATCCGTTTTGTGGTTATAAAGCTGTTGTGGCTGCTCAGTCTAGCAGGAGAAAACTGCACAAAATTGTACTTTACAAGCCAAATTACGAATGCTCCGTGGTACGTGCGTAATAGAAAAATCT